ACACGGCTGTCTCATCGCTCTTGGAGTTCCTAGCGATATCTGCAAATGTTCTTCTGTGTACAACTTTATTGAATGTTGCTTGGCAAGCGCATGAAATAAGGTGTTTTTGATCAATGGGCGAGGCACGTTTCCCCCCCCCCCCCCATTTAGTAGTTTTTTAAATTATGGCTTGGGTCCTGCTGCAATTTTGTGTACTTACGCCCCTGTGTGTCTGACTACCTAGGTGAACTCTTATCAAGTGATTTATTTCTGCCGTTATTAGTCCGTCTGTCACGATTTTGCCACTGACCAAAATTTTGACAGCCCTTGTGTGACTGATATGAATTTGACTGACGGTGTGAAGCATTGGAACACTCTTTAATGACTACTATTGGCTGAGCGCTATTTTGTGCATTCTGGTATGTGCGAGGAACACGTCACGTGTCGGAGACCTCTGTATGTCGTAGTGCCACAGTGAAATTTTCTCTGATACCTGTTGTTAGTGTAGCTTGCTGTGCCTGAATCGTGAGCTTGGCAAATTCCTAATTATAGTGGTATATACCTAATTCAGTGCGTTTCAAATTTTCCACCGTTTGCTCAAACGTGTCGTTTTAGATACCAATGATGTTATCCGCCATAGACGGTAACAATAACTTCCACAACATGTTGATAAATTCATTATCCGATACATTAGGGTTGTACTTGTGTCGGTAATACTTCATTGTCTCGACATGTTGTTGAGTACTTTCCCCTGCTTGTTGGTGTTTCATGTACAGTAAATGTTTAAACTTTTCTGTCTTCTAAGTGGTGGTAAATTTTTTCTTTAGGGTTGCCTCAATCAACGGCCACGTGACTGCGCCTGGTGTGGTTGTAATTTTTCGAGCGCATGTTCGGCAGTATTTTTCAAATGGAATTTTATCCGGCAACATTTATCCCCGTCGTTCTATGCATTAATGTCCGCTACAGCCTGATAATTTTCTAAAGATTCCTCTACATTTTCGCCTTTCTCACCCGAAAATGAAGGCGGTTTTTCCGGCTGGTTGACGACTATCTGGAGTGGTTATTGCACGGCCATAATGTCTGCTCTGGTCGGAAGTGGTTGATTTGTAATATCTGTGTATTCGTGTAGGCTCGTATAGTTGTGCTGGGTGTGAAGAAAAGGAAATAGTTCCTTAGGTTTTATGTACCCTGACTGTGCTTCTACGTTCTCCTGTGTATGTACCGATCCTTCACGTTTGTGGTTATCCGGACTTGTGTTAAATGAGAAATCTAACACTGATTTTGTTCTGATACAGAAATATCCTACACAGTTTCACTTTGCAACTATCTTTAGTGATCGTGGTTATCTAAAGCATATTCTATGTCGGTTGTGTCTAGCAAAGCATGTTTAAGAAACATAGTAACTGATGATTGTGTTGTTTTGCTGCGTGTTTCCATGAATTACTCTACACTGAGTGTACGATGTAGTGGTGTACATACAATTGTGTGGCTGTAG